TATGTGATAAATAAATGATAATTAAAATTTTTTTATTTCTATATATACATCTATATTTTTACTTAATAGATAAAAGAAATTTTTAATTATCATTTATTTATTATATAAAATTATTAAATTAATTTACATAAAATTAAAGATTAAAACAACTAAGAAAAATCGGAGGGAGTAGTCTATAAAGGAAATTACGAGATTTCGCTGCCTCCCGCTCCTAATTCCCAACCCACCACCATTGATTTGTTCTCTCTCTTGCCAACGCATCTTATTCATTGGCCACACCGCTAGTAACTTAATTTTGATTAAAACATCTCCTCTTATTACTATTTTGCTTAGAGTATAAATCTATTTGCATACTAAATTTTATATATTATATTTATATAAAATTTTAATTATTTATCTTTTCACTTCTAATAATTAAGATATATTTATATTTATTAAAAATAATAATTTTTTTATCTAAAAAATTATAATAAATCTCAATTATTAAAAATAAAGTAATGAATAATTAAAAATTTATGTAAATATAATATATGTAAATATAATATATAAAATTTGTGTGTAATTTGATTCTCCTTATTTTGCTTATGCATTATTCATATTGGGAACATATCTCTTTTTCTTCATAATTTTTTCATCAATTATTGGTTTTGTACATTTTTTTCAAAGTACATATGGATTTCCCACTATCACCAGATAAATTAAAAATATGTATATTTTCAACTTAAGGGACTAACAAAGTACAAAAATTATTCAGGAAAAAAAGGTATATCAAGAAAAAGTTTAAGGACCAAAAACAGCATCAAACCAAAAAGATTAAATGTTAATTTTAATCTTTCAACTTTATAATTTTGCACTTTTTTAGTCCCTTAACTTTTTTTGCACTTTTTTTATCCTTCAACTTTGGCCCTTCCGTTAGTTATCTATGACGTGGCAATTAAATAATTCCACGTTGGCATTTTCTTTTAATTTTTTATGACATGGCAATAACATATCTTATAATTTGATTATGTGTACAAATAAAAATGCCAAATTAGATTAGCATTTATATTTTTAATAAAAAATAAAAAACAATAAAGTTACCTTAATACCCACATCTCCCTCTCTCGATCCATCTTTTTCCCCTCTTTCTTCCTCTTTTTGTGAACCTAGTAACTAAGTTCAACAAAACCCAGCTGTAGGGTTCGAACCCAACAGATCTGGGTTTCGTTGAACCTAGTAGAACTGGGTTCCACTGAACCTAACTCTTGGGTTTGAGGGAACCCAACAAATTTGGGTTCTGTTGAACCCAATAGATCTAGGTTCCACTGAACCTAACTACTAGGTTGCTGTTGGGTTCGAGGGAACCTAACTGCTGGGTTCCCTCAAACCCAGTAGATCGAGTTCCCTCAAACCCAATAGATCGGGTTCGCTGAAACCTAGCAAGCAGGTTCAACGGAACCTAGCAAGCAGGTTCAACGGAACCTAACAAGTAGGTTCAACGGAACCTAGCAGATGCAAGTTCTTCTTTGGTTTTCCATTCTTAGTTCTTGATTTGCCTGTTATACTTGTTCTTTGTAGGTTTTTTCAAATTTTGGGAGTTGATTTGCTGGAATTTGATTGCATTTATATTGGAATTTGATTAAGGTTTGATTGAGATTATTTATTACCAAGTGAATGAGAATGAGATCTGTTAAGTTTGATGGAACCTAACAAGTGGGTTTCATTAAACCCAATAGCTGGGTTCAACAAAACCCAAATTATGCTGGGCTCAACTATAACTGGAGTAAATAGGAAGAAAGAGGGGAAGAAGATGGAGCAAGAGAGGGAGACTAGGTACTAAAATAATTCTATTGTTTTTTATTTCGTTTTATTAAAAATATGAATGTTTATGTGATTTGGTTTTTTTATTTATCCACGTAACAAACTTATAATATATTATATTGCCATGTCATAAAAAAAAATTAAAAAAATACTATTTTGGAATTATTTAACAGTCACGTTATAGGTAACTAATGGAGAAACTAAAATTGTGCAGTTTTTTAGAGTTGAGGAATCAAAAAAGTGCAAAAAAAGGTTGAGGGACAAAAAAAGTGTAAAACTTAAAGTTGAGGGACTAAAATTAGCATTTGACCAACCAAAAAATAATAAACATCATAGCCCACCCAAAAAAAAAAGTAGGAAATTGAGGTTTAGTTTAACAATTTTAGTTTGGAACTGCAGTTATAGGTTTTGTTGATCCTTTAACATTTTAAAATATATAAAATATATTTAATATATTTAATATTTATTATCATTAATATTTTAGATATTTTTAAAATAATAAAAAGATATAAAATCTAAAAATTAAAAGATGAAAAAATATTGTCAAATGAAATCTTAATTTCATGAACAGATGCAAGCTTGATTTACACTACAAAGCTTATTCAAGCACTAACTCCCATAAAAAAAGCTTATGCAAACACAATAAAACTTATCTACTCAATAGATTTGCATGGTACATAATTGGTAAACAATACTAAAACTCATACAAGGTAGTTCTAGGACACATTTTTTATTGGATAATAATCAATTATGCAAACCACATCTAGATAGGAGAATATTAATTAATTGATGTTAATTTTTGCTGCTTCAATCGTTGTCCTTTCTCGATCATAGCGTTGGAAGAACATGTCCACATAATTTTTCACCTTCTTGTATGATGCAGGCCTTGTTTCACTCACCAGCTCTTT